GGTAGGCACCTTGTCAACATGCACATCAAGCGCAGCCACGCCGACAAGGCCCAACAAGAGCCAAGTACTTGAAACGACAAGATAAAATAAAACAAATCGGATGATGCATACAGATACGGAGACATAACACTGCACCAAATAAGCGTGTAAAATAAATCGTTCACGAAGGAATCCGCGAAAAGTACAAGAGGTCAAAAAATAAATTTTAAGAAAACGCCAAAAACGCAAAAAGGTTATCGAAATTAACTACAATTAGCTTCAGCGACATGTGCAAATTTACAGACGGTAATACGTCTAGAGATTAACATGAGAAAGAAAAGCATTAGGACAAAGTTGCAAACTCACAACCTGAAATAAAGAGACCCAGCATGCAAGCAAGCGGTTAATAAATCGAATGTAGCATACCTACAAACGCTGCGCCGGTTCTGACTACGTTCTCTACACGACCGATCATCGCTTCGGTGGTGGTCCCGAGTGGCCTCGTTCATAACTCACTAGGCCTGCCTGACTCAGGCACTCGCGACCGCATGTGCTACAGCACCATGCGCCGAAGTCGATGGAGTACAACCCATCGGTGCTCGCCGCTTCCGCACTTGCCGCTTCTTCTCTGCATGCATGAGGTCATTCTCCCGCACTTCGGCACCCGCCTTCGTGATTAGATCGCGCCATGCACGCCGATCAACCGCCTTCGATTCCTATGATCAGCAATCAAGATTAGGACGTGAGAGGCTCACTTTAATCATGTCCTGGTAACGTAACTTTGGTTTCCCCACATGCCGCCTCCCAATACTCGGCTGACCATATAAGAGTTGTTTCGGTATCCGCGTCGAATCCATACGGCTCACATACCGAGTCACCTCAGGTGTCTCAGCAAAAGTATGCAGTCCACCGCACACATCCCACTTCATAGCAACACTTACGTGTCTGCAACTCTGTCTCCCCATCCGATGCACAGAATCCGTCGCAAACACTGCTGATGGAACCGCTCGAGATATCGCACCGCCCGCCAGTACATCGTCAACGGTTCACTGCCGTATTGAAGAACGGACAGCACCATGGATTTGTACACCATCAGCTTGGTGCCAATGCTAAGCTGATGGTTGTTCCACACTCGGTACCCAAGCTTCACGAATGCCGCCACTGCCTTCGAAACGCGGATACGCAACTCACTGTGTAGTTGCTCGTCAGTCGATATCACACTCCCAAGATAGTAGAAGTGGGAGATGGTTTCCAACACTTCAGCACCAATCCTGACTCGCGGCAATATTGAAAATTGTACCTCCAGTGAAAGCTGATAGAGACAGACAGTTTTGCTTGTGTTGATGGTGAGCCCGAATTTGGCCGCTGTCGAAGCCAGAGCACTAGTCATGTGCTGCAACTCATCCGCGTTGTGTGCAAACAACGCACAGTCGTCAGCAAACAGCAACATAGGGATAGTTGTCTCACTGACTTAACTTCTCGCACCAAAACGGCGCATGTTCATCAACCCACCATCAATACGGTGCTCCACACGAACACCGTAAGCACAAGCCGCATTGAAAGCATAAGACATCATGGCATGAAGATATATATTAAACAGGGCAGGCGCTAAGACACAGCTTTGCCTCACACCATAACAACAACAACAACAACAACAACGACGACGACAACAACAAGAACAACAACAGTACATCGACCGTTTGAACAGATGCTTCGTTGTCATGCTATCACGAGGACCTATGAAATAAAGAATAATAAGAGGGAGAAAAGGGGACTTACCTGAAAACGTTAACGCCCAAAGCAAGCATTCACGGGCAAGGCGCCTACACCTTGGGTAAACAACATACCGTCACAAACAGCTGGTTATCGTGCAAAGATAAGGCGGCATCGGCGAGACAGCTTCCTTGCGGTTTTCACTGCCCCACTTCACAATCAGTCAAAACCCACAGATAACTCAGCACCAAGCACACTTTAAACAGACAATCATATTAAGAGACGGCAGCATACAAGTCAGTGGTATCGACTGCGAGCCATGTCCTGTAAAGTATCGAGTCAAGCACAAGGCGAGTCACGTGGACTCCAGCCCGAAAGACGAAACGGACCAACATCCCCCAGTTTGGTCGTCATCGATTACATTTCCTGCTGCCAAGACAATTTTTCTCCACCTGGAGTCTTGCATCATCATTAAACAAGGCCCTCCTAGGTTAGCGGTGACCAAGCATACGTAGCACGTGCCCGAGCCAACGCAACTCATTCAGTGCTATCTGTTATTCTAGGGAGCTGGCATGTTAATCACTACCTAGTACTCGCCTACGCACATCATCGTTGCGGATTTGCTGGTATATATATATATATATATATATATATATATATATATATATATATATATATATATATATATAGGCAGCAGTTTATAAGACATTGCGCCATCGAAAAACCGTGATGAACAAAATAAAATAGTGCAGATGTCAGGAACTGATAATAAATAATTTCTGAATTTGTTGTTTTTTGTTTGTTTTCATATGCCATTTTGTTTTGTTGGCATTTTCAATGGCATAATTCTAATCACACTGCTCAAAACATTTCAATATAGAGTTCTTCCATTGATTCCTGTTTCGCGCCATATTGCCAAGTCTGTCAAGAAAGTTGTATTCCACATCCTTGGGCCCCCAACCAGGAAGACGTACCGGGCCGACGATTATAAGTTATCATTATACAGGTTAGCTAGAGGTGGGAAACACTTCAACTACTGTGCCGCAATACATGGAAGAAAATAGGAGAAAAATGCAACAGGTGCAAGTCAGCTGAGCTACCGGTAAAGGATGGGCATCGTTCTGGTAAGCTACCAGCCGGCTACTATGCAGCAAAAAATTTACTGTGAAAAATTAAATAAGGCTAAATAGTGAGATAGTAGTTGTATGGGGAGGCTAAGGGGATGGGGTAGGACAAAGGAACTCACAGCACGAACACCAATGAGGTCGGCTCCTTGCCATTTCAGCAAGTGTATCCATGCAAACGTGTTCATCGTCTTCGGACCCAACCAGGGAGTCGAGACGCTCCAACCGAGGACAGCTGCGAAGTAAGGGCCTTCATTCATCTCGAGCAAGTCATCGCTTGGCCACCCTCCTCTTCTTCCATCCACACTCACGGTGCGCTAAGAACGCACGTCGCGGGAGCCGGTGGACTGGCATGAATAACATGTGGCCGAGCCATCGGAGCCTGGTGCGTGAAATAACGGTGCTGTGCGGTTCATTTCCTTTTCCTATGCCGTAAGCAAGGCGTCGAATATGCTCGTTGCTCATGCAGTGTTCGCACCAGATGTGAGCTAAATTGCGAAGGCACCGGTGATCAAAGGTAACTAGCTTCTTAGGTCCGTTGACCTAAGTGGCCTAAGTGGCTCCGCGTAGGGGTGGGCGTCCTCGCGGTATACTCAGCCCGCGCACGACTGGTGGTGGTCGCGCGGCAGCGAAGCACCGTTACGGCGTATTAGCTGACACCTTTTGACCTAAGTGGCCAGGTTTCAGAACCATACAGCAGGGTCGAAGGTACCGCTGCATTGTACACTCTAGCCTTCAGGGCGAGAGTAACGTCGCGCCGGCGCCATAAGTGGCGAAGGTTAGTAAAAGCGCCGCGACCTTTTGCTATACGGTTCGTGATCTCATCTTCAATCCCAAGGGCGCTGATACAACTTCCCAGGTAGATGAATTTATGAACGACTTATAGCTGATCCCCACCAAGAGTCAACGTAGGGGGCGTGACAGGTCAGTGGTTTCATGGTTTACCGCCGAGTGGTTGGCTGACCTCCACGCCTCCACTTCCAATGCAATCCCGCGCGAGCAAATTAGGTGCAGCGTCGTAAGCACTTGCATGACATGCTTAGAACGTGGCTAAGCCACCTCAATTGACGCACTGCAGTAAGGCGATTAAGCGGAGAGCTCACATTTCCCAAGGCGCGACACCGGACTTCATCGTTGCGAATCCAGTGCTGCCACTACACACGGGCCACCCGCCGCAAACATGCGTTGTCGAAGGCCGAGAGCCTACGAAAATCATCTACACGAAGCGGCCAGGACTCACTTCCGTACACCAGGACTGCGCAGACACAAGTGTTGTAGACCTTCACCTTTAAGGAGAGGGATATGTCCAAACATCACAAATGACTCAGGTTGGTAATGTCCGATCGGGCTCTGGCAATGCGAAGAGATCTCTTTTTTAATAGCGCCATTAACAGAAATACTGCTGCCAAGATAGACAAAGTTGTCCACAAGCTCTAGTCGTGTTTATTTAATGGTAAGTGAAGAGGTAGACGAGTTCCAGTCCTGCAGTAGCACTTTACACTTCAAGGGAGAAAAGAGCATACCATAGACGCTTCAATCGCCAGACGGTCTAAAAGGAACTGTACACTCTTAGCTCATGTGTGGTGGGAGTACCGCGTGAGCAACGAATGTGTTCGGCGCCGTGTATTTGGTGCAGGAAGAGCGAGTGAACCGCTCTGCACCATCATGTCATGCATCAAGCACTGACGGCTGGGCCACGTGTTGCGCAGGCCAGCACACCGACACCCGCGACGTGCTGTCTTCGGTTGGAAGAACAGGGAGGCCAAGCGATGACTTAATGAGAGAAGTGAAAACCTTCACTTCGAAGTTGGCGTTAGTTGGTGCATCGCGACTGTGTGTTTGGGGCAGAGCCGGAACAATAGTACTAGTATATACACGGGTTTAATCAGCATCAATGATAGGTTCCAATTTACAGGTGACAGCGTTGAAACAACTTATAGTGCCCATTAATCATCAGCATTCTAATTGGCCATTGTGATAAAAATAACTGCTGATTATGTGGAAGATGGATAAGAAAAGATAAAGCTTTTCGATGTAGTGAAACATGGGTCCCACTTTATCGATGTCATGTGGAAGACCTAAGGACAATGTTCGCACTAGTGAACTGCTGGTTAACAAAGCATGTAGCAAAAATCTCACAATTGTAAACCAAAACAGAAAACAGAAAAAAAACAGTCAACTGACCTGGTCTTGGGTTTACATCAGGAGATCGGTTCAAACAGTGGGTACTATTATCTCCAACCAGTATAGAACCTGAGGAGGGATGCTTGGTCCAAACTGGTTGCCCAGGAGCGGGTCTTGAAGACACATCAAGGCCAAATGGATGAATGACACTCGCTTGGAGTTGTCGCGACCCAGAAAATCCAAAATTATGCAAACTCGAACTAACCGCAGAACTTTCCGTAGGTGAGTCTAAAGTGGTGAAATGGACACAACCATAAGACAAATTACTCAGGGAGGAAAAAACCGTGGGTCCAAGAAAGTCGCGATTGTTGAGAGCTGAGTCAACGCCAGAGTCAAATGAAGTAGCTGCATCAGCATTGCGTTTGTCAGTACTCCACCGACGCCATATCAGATGGGTCGAAGTGTGGCAAATGAAAACCAGATGACCCAGGGCCGAGAGCCCGCAGAACGTACAAGCTGCAGCAACTTAAAAATAATTCAACATCGTAGCAACAACAAACCTGAAGTAGAATACATGACCAGAAAAGACTGAGGTAGTGCCAACAGATGAAAGAGATACATGTATTTCCTGAAAACGAACTATAAAAGGAAGGTAAACTAACAGCTCCATCAGGATAACAAGCAAAATAAGCAAATTAGCGATTAGCCATCTGTTTCTTTCCGCAATTACTTTGAAAACTACTCGCTCTTTGCTTTCGCGCAATATCGCTGGACTGACTGACAGCATGGGACAGACGGTAGTCAGCCGGACCGGGACACTCACGGGGGCGTTTAAATGACAACGTCGGAGGAATGCGCCATTAGACGGAGTTCCGCAGTACAAATTTAAGATATTTGTCAACCAGAGTGGTATTCCACCAGTCAGTATTGTGCCTAAAATATTTGTTTTTTCGTACAATTTATAATACCATAGACATTGTGACAGCAACTGCAACCCGGAATGCAAATGCTTCTGTATCGATAAGAATTGACGTAGAGCAAGTGTGTTTGTTTAAACGTTGGTATTTTACAGGTCGTTGCTATCGTACATAAGAGCCTGTCCCGGGCGCTTGGCCATATTGCCTTTTGGCATTACTATGGCATGTGCTTAGGGTTCCCACGTGGATGACTCTGTCCTCCTCAAATGTGCGCCGTTGCGTTAGGTTATTTACGACTAATTTCTGAATGTATTCCGCCTTTTCAATGGAGAGGTTGGCGTTCCTTCTACATCTGCAACTCACTAAACGCAAAAACGTAGGCACGACGTTATCACGAAAATGCCTGAAAAACGGCTTTCCCTATTACAATGTGAAATTAATCTGCGTGCACTGCGAGAAAGAAAGCAAAGCACAGTTATCTATCACGTGTATGCTATTTCAGTACAAATCACACTGCAGTTCCATGTACCTCAGTTACAATTGCAAAGCCTTCCTATTTGTTTATGCCACCACCGTTAATATGAGATTGTACGTAGACGCATGCAACACATGCACTTCTTCCAAGTTGTTAAGCCTTGGCTGTATGTTCGCAATCGTCAATTTGCGCCGGTTTAATAGGCGGAGGTTTATTGGTTAATGGGATATTTTAAAAGTGTGCTCGAAACTAAGAATTATGCACGCACCAAGATTCATACATACATAAATAAATAAATGGTATATTCTCGGTAAAAAGAGACACACCTGTAAAGGCGTGATCAAATATGCATACAAGCATAGCTTCTTTGGAATGTTAAAACATTTCGTTTTAATGAAAGGTATGAAAGAAAAGGTGTAGTTCATATGAGTGGGCCTATTGTCACGTAATAGTCAGTCCAAGGAACATGATGGCGCTGTGGCGCGCAAAAATCCGTCAAGACACAAGTTGGGGGTAATTTCGCCAGGTGGTGATCCGTGAGCACAGGAGCCCAAGCAAGGTTTTGGTGCAACCAACAACCATTACAAAATAGGGATGGTCTGTGCACCATCAAAGCATTCTTCATAGTAGGATTGGTTGCACAAGTTGGATGTAGAAGACTGAGGACTGCGTCCGTGTGAAAGGTTTAGCTGTGACTTTACTTTGTGGCGGGTCACACACGCCACGTTGCAGTGTTGTTAAGCGGACATTTGTGGCTTTTTATAGGGAGAACGCTTGCCAGTCGAAAACCCACCATGTCCTGGAACACTGCCGCAGCTTCCGTTGAGTAGTAATGCAAGTCGGCAATGGATCGTATAGACCGATTTTGCACTCTATTATTCGCAGTCGGTTGACAGCCAAAATTCTTCGTTGGTTGGCCGAATGGCTTAGTACTGATACGGTAGCAGTCGTTGAAGCCGGTCAATGATGCAAAAGATTCGAAGAGTCGAATGATAATGATGCAGGTGAATAAACACATTGTTAATAGAGGCCGGCTTTTCTATTATATTCTGGTTCTGCTCGCAACCCGTGTCCAGCTATCCACGCTGGACTTGTCATGGGGTCAGTGAGTGCCTTTTCTTGAGGCTGAATATGTCCATAACAGGTAAAAATGCCATTCTCCGCAAAGTGGATTCGGGGTTCCCTCAAATGTAAGTAAGTTTAACTGTCTCCATAGCCAAGTGGACATTCCATGAAGGGCCATCGGAAAAGCATCGTATACCGGCGCAACGCTGTCCGTGAAATGACATCAGAATAGCTCCAGGTGACTGGCGAATAGGAATGTTTGAGGCAGTGAAGGTAATCACGCCAGAGTTGTTTGTCTTCGGTTGTGGAACGGGGGATCCATGTAAATATATTATTCCAGGTGAGTAAGTTTTTGTCTCTGAGTACGAGGTGAACTTAACCCATTTGTTTAGGCCCCGTGAATGTAGCGTCTCCAGAATGGCGGAAAAAGCTCCATTTGGAACGATGTGTGGGTTCTTCATTTCCTGGAGAAAGGACCAAGTGTTTGGAGATAGGTCAACCAGTCCCAATGGATAAACCTTCTTGTTTTGGCGGAAATAACTGTGGGAATCTCGGGAAAAACGGGCAGCGGACAAGAGGCAGCCAAACAGAGAGACAGCAATGAATCAAGAAGCACTAACACAGACTGGTGGCGCACACCGGTGCCCATGACGCATTTGAGCTTATGTAATTTTGTTTAGTATACATGCTTTGCAAGCGCGTTCTATACATTATGTCGCTGGTGTGATTCAGACTACAACTACTGGGTGGGACGAAGGCTCTGCACGCGCAGGGTCAAAAGACCGAAATAACAGACTTTGCGAATGCTGCGATGGTTGGAGAGAAACAGGTAAACCGCTGATAATGGCAGCGATCCGAATACGAGAGGCACCTTAGGTGAAACTAAGAGAAACTAGGTTGAGACCGAATGCGGGAGCAAAATAGGTAAAGCAACTTAGCAAGAGGAAATTCAAGGAATCGGCTAGGAGCGGATGAATGCTGACGGCAGCGCGAGGAGTAGTTCATAAGAGTAATTACGCTAAAGCACTCATGATTCCACATTCCAAAAGCCGTCAGAATCTAGAAAAATGGTCACAGGGGCCAAAGCTGCCGTGTATTAGGAGTCGTTACGACACGTACGTTCTCAAGAATAGACAAATGCGAGCATAAGGTAAAGAGCATAGGAATAGGAACAGCGGTAATTTGAGCATAATAATTGAGGTACTAGTCAAGAAATACTTATCAATTGTCCAAATGCCGCCAATAATCAGGAGCTAGCTCGGAGCGAAGGAGACAATGCGCACGAGGATAACTTGGCTAACCGCAATGCGTGTAAGCCGTAAAAATAATAAAAAAATGGAGCGCAATAAGAAAAAAGGTCACGGATAATAAGAAAATAAAGGCAGGCAGAAAGAGACAGACGGGTTACGTGAGACGAGATAACGGCAGGGCAGTAAAGCCGGTCGTCAGATTTAAAAAGGAATGAAAACAGAAAGCGATGGAAAGGGTTATGATCTAGATGAGAAAGGATGATTGTTAAAGGGGGAAAAGCCCACGAGGCTCTCCAAGTACTGCAAAGGGATAGTGGAATCAGCCGAACTGATAGAGGTGACGTCTCAGAAGTATGAATGAATCCGGGGAGCAGGAGGCCGATCGGGTAGGACTTGATTAGTCGGCGCGTTTGGATAAGGACATGTAGTAAAGGTAAGAAAAGAGCCTGCAGTAAATGGTATGCAAGTCTAGCAGGCTCTAGTTTTAAGGGAAACCTCATGTATAGACTGCGGGGCGTATACCGTGTAAGTCTCAGTAGCATAGTAGCAGACTGAGGGAAACAGACTACGCAGGTGAGCCAAGATCACGGCAATGCAGTAAAGCCGGACGTTCGATTAAAAAAGGATTGAAAACAGAAGGCGAGAGATGAAAAGGTTAAGGTTGGGGTGAGAAGGGTTTATTTGTAAAGAGTGGAAAATCCCACCAAGCTCTCCAAGTAATGTAAACAGAACCATTATGTCAGCCGAGCCAATAGAAGTGATGTCTCAGAAGTCCAAATGTATTCATTGAGTATGAGGCTGACTAAGCGGTACTGGATTAATCGGCGCTTTGGGACTAGCGTATAAAGTAGGTAAGAAATGGGCTATAACAATAATGAGGGAACTAGTCTAGCGGTCTCTACGGTTTGTAACGTCGAAGAACTCTGAGTGAAATCAGAAAACAAGTAGCCAGTCTGACGAGACGGAGTTAGTCAACGCGTAGGAATAGCACGTAAAATAAACGCAGGAAAAGTAGGTGCAACAGCAGAAGTTGTACGAGCCTAGCAGCCTCACGAGGTACGGGAAAGAGAGCGTTGGTTCTGCATAGCGTATACCACTTAAGTCTGGGTAGCATAGGAGCAGTCAGAGGGAAAGAAACGGATCAGTGGGGCTAGATCACCACAGGACCGGTTGAAGAAGAATTGAAAACAGAGCGCGATAAAAGGATGGATTAGCATGATTTTTACTGCATCCGTAATCGTCACAACCATCGTCATAAGCAAGAAGAAGCTGTAGTACGCAGCAACCGGGTGCAGATTGAGGGGAGTCTTCAAATAGTCGAGCTTGATGGTTTACTGTACTGTGTGCATTTTATCCCTTTAACAGCCCTGCATGATGCGACAACTACGCAGAGGTTGTTCATGCTGACACAACACAGCCTAATCTGGGGTAGGTATCCGTTGTGGCCTACCATGCATGTCGAAGAAACGGAATTTGGTTACACCTATTATTTGCCCATTACTGTCAAATGAGTGCACCAGCAGCTACCTTGAAACCCCTCATTACATTTATACGTTACCACCGGTCACTAATAATTGCAAGACTTTCGTTGTTGTTCGAAATCTTCTTCAATTATATACTATCAAGTCACCGTATCCGGAAGCACGGAACGTGCTATGTAAGTTCCATTTGCTGCTTGAATCTAAGAAGGGCTGCGGAGGATTGCTCGGTGTCCGCATGTGTGATAACCGCCGTTCGTTGCAGTGGATGAGTCAGCTAGTGTATACAACGCGTGAGCGGTAATTTCACGCACTTTTCACCGCTTTTGGTGCCACTTGACCTCAAGCTCTTTGCCAAATGCACACCACTTGGCTTATGTACACGGAATATTGGGCGGGTTATATGCTGAGCAGTGTGCGTGTATTGGGTAATACCTCCACCAATCGCGTGAATGTAGAAAACCGTTATCTTTAGGTTGGTCTAACTCAAAGGTCCAGTGGGGCTCCTTTAGTTACAGTTAGCATGAAGCGCGTGAGGGACGCAGGTTGCAGTTGGGCGTACCATTTGTGGTGGCCTTATTGAACCTCCATCCAAGGGGGCGTCTCGACAGAGACTGTATGCAGAAGTACCACCTCTGAACCACTGAAGTCT